CCTGGGAAGAAAGACGTACTGGCGATTGGGAGATCAAGGACGGGTTTCATCCCTGAAAACTGACACTCCCACTTCCACATCCCATTCTATCCCACTCGAAATGTTGTTCACACCCACAATGTAACCTGATCACCTTAAAGTATAAATAAACCCTCTCGTGGTGCCACACCCTTGTAGCTACACTGCGGTGTGCACCCTTGCAAGTAAAACAGCACGTGTCTCATACTCTGTGGGCCAGCGGCCGGGGGGGGCTGATCACTCTCTCCGACATAAAACTTGGTCCTTCGAGCCGGAGTACTCTCCTTCCATCAGCTGTGGATGGGGAACCACACTCATGTAAAGCCACAGTAGAGGAACAAACAAAACCGAGACATGATATTTCTCAAACGCCATTATCGAATTCAGTAACTGTGTTTGTTGACGGTTCAGCGTCAAAAGACAGTACTGAGAGAAATAAGGTTGGTTATGCTGTAGTTTTGACTGATGAAGTACTTGAAGCTAATGCACTTCCCCCGACATGTTCAGCTCAAGCAGCAGAATTGTATGCTGTCATCAGAGCATGTGAATTGCACAAAGACAGATCATTGACAATATACACTGACAGTCAATATGTGTTCGGAGCGGTTCACCATCACTCCAAAGTATGGAAAAACAGGGGATTTAAAACATCGCAGGGCACCTCCCTAACACACACAAATTTGTTATTACGACTATTAGATGCCGTACAGCTACCATCTGCTCTTGCAATATGTAAATGTAAAGCCCACCAAACTGATACCACTTTAACTACAGTAGGAAATAGTTTCGCGGATGCAACAGCAAAGGCAGCAGCACAGAAACAACCTATATTGAAAATGACGGATCTCCTACTGATTGACACAGATATACTATGTGATTCTCAAAAACATGCGCCGCTCTCAGAAGTAAAAGCCTGGATCAAAAGAGGAGCAATTCAGATTAATGATATTTACTACATCGACGATAAGCCCGTACTTTCAAAAAATTTATACAAAACAGCGGCATTGGTGAGCCACGGGAATACCCATGTCTCAACAGGAGGGATGGTACATATAATACATCAACAATTCTATACTATAAATTTTTCTGATTATGCAAAGAACTTTTGTAGATCATGCCTTATCTGTTGTAAGCATAATTCCCAGGGCAACCTGAGACCAAAGAGAGGGCAGTTTCCGGTAGCAGAGCACCCGTTTCAAATTATTCACATGGACTTTATTGAGCTGTCATGGTCACAGGGAAAAAAGTACTGTTTGGTAATAATTGATACGTTCTCGAAGTGGGTTGAAATATATCCAGTTAAACACTGTGATGCGATGACGGTGGCAAAATGTCTGGTAGGCAGTTATTTCCCCACATATGGCATTCCTCAAACCATCAGATCGGATAACGGTACCCATTTTGTAAATCGAACAATGGACCTGTGCTCACAAGCGCTAAACTAAACTAAAGTTAAACTAAAGAATCATTGCGCATACCATCCTCAGAGTGCAGGACTAGTGGAAAGAACCAACGGTACCATAAAAACTAGGCTAAGAAAAACAGTGGAAGAGACAGGGAGACCATGGCCGGAATGCTTATCTCTGGTAAAACTGTGGATGAGAATTACGCCAACCCCAGCAGGTCTTACGCCATTTGAAATAGTGCATGGTAGGCCTTTTCCCCTAGCTACAGAAATGAGTGATATAACAAAGGCGCACAGGGAAACAACACTCGCAGACTGGATGAGCAAACTGCTGCGCACTCAAGAAGTACAAAGGCCCAGTAGTC